CTAGCTACTGGACCGCAGAGTTGTAATAACTAAACAAGTTACACTGGTAATGAATTATTTACTTGTTTATATCCGGTTACAATCGTAATGCGTTATTTATGCAGACATGAATTAGTTAACACACACAAAACAATAAGGTTTAAGTGGCTATGCGTTATTTACAGTGGGCCAAGTCAGAGTATTTTTCCAGAATGGTTGGTAATATACCACTGTGGATACAATACTTTGACATTTCTTGAACATTTCTGAGTTGTCTCTGAATTCATTAATTTTATCGCATTCCAGTGCATAATGACGCAGGGTGTGACAATTGTGCATCTGGCAAAGTTTATTTTAAGTTTGGTCTACATCATCTGGTGGTGGTGATGATTTAATCTGCCAGATATATCTGTAACTCAGCCGGAGCTGGGGGGTAGTGACATCCAAGAGTCTGCTTATTTTGTTGGATGCACCATAGACATGTTGCTCCAAAACTGTAATCTACTCCCTCCTTGAAGGCATATGACTTTGCCAGTTCATCAGTTCTATCATGCATCTAAAGACCAATGTGAAATGGAATCCACAGGTGCACTCTTACTCCATTGTACACAATCCTACCATACCTGTGTCAGGTTTTGACACAAACATGCCACAACTGATACTCAAGGAACCCTCCAGCACAGTAATAACAATGGTTATAAATGACCATAATTTTTAAAGGGGTGGGCCGGTAAGCCAGCGGAAGGCCTCGGTCAGATGACCAAAGGCGGGTCATCATCTGACCTAGATCCTTGTCAGGAAACACTTGTCCTATTTCCTGACGAACCTTACCTAACCTAACCTAACCTCCAGCACATATGGAAACGATGAGCACGATTTCTTACATCAGTTTCCAAGTTCACCTACCATAGGGTTCCCATTCAATATTATACACCATCCTAGTGTCAGCATCCTCGTGTTGACGGGGCTATGATCATGTTATACACCATCCTAGTGTCAGCATCCTCATGTTGACGAGGCTATGATCATGTTATACACCATCCTAGTGTCAGCATCCTCGTGTTGACGGGGCTGTGATCATGTTATACACCATCCTAGTGTCAGCATCCTCATGTTGACGAGGCTATGATCATGTTATACACCATCCTAGTGTCAGCATCCTCATGTTGACGGGACTATGATCATGTTATACACCATCCTAGTGTCAGCATCCTCGTGTTGACGAGGCTATGATCATGTTATACACCATCCTAGTGTCAGCATCCTCGTGTTGAAGAGCCATGATCGTTATATACCATCCTAGTGTCAGCATCCTCGTGTTGAAGAGGCCATGATCACGTTATATACCATCCTAGTGTCAGCATCCTCGTGTTGAAGAGGCCATGATCACGTTATATACCATCCTAGTGTCAGCATCCTCGTGTTAAAGAGGCCATGATCACGTTATATACCATCCTAGTGTCAGCATCCTCGTGTTGAAGAGGCCATGATCACGTTATATACCATCCTAGTGTCAGCATCCTCGTGTTGAAGAGGCCATGATCACGTTATATACCATCCTAGTGTCAGCATCCTCGTGTTGAAGAGGCCATGATCACGTTATATACCATCCTAGTGTCAGCATCCTCGTGTTGAGGAGGCTATGATCATGTGTCACATTATGTTTGTTGATCTCCATCATGTTTTGCACCATCCACCATCCAATTATCAGCTGCCTTGTGTTGACGAGGCTATGATCTTCTGTCACACTATTTACTGACCCCCATCATGTGCTGTACCTGTTTTTATTCCTAGATGAGCAGGGGAAACGTAAAAGAAGGTACTAGAGATAAAGTTTTCCAATGTTTTTTTTTTATTATTATTATTCGCCGGTATTCTCCCGGCCCGGGTCTTTTCCAATAGTGGTTGATGCATTTGTTTAATGTATGTGTGATAGAAGGAACGATATCTAATTATTGGCAGAAAGTATGCATATTTCCTTCGTACAAGAAGTGTATAAAAGGAAAGAACATGTAAGAGAAAAGAGAATTAATGTTAATCTTTACGAGCACAGATGGGTAAAAAATTTAGACATCAGGAAACTGCAGATGAATTTCAAGAGTTTCCTGACTTTCTTAAAGTCAAGATTTACAAAAGATTTTTTTTTTTTATTCGCCGGTATTCTCCCGGCCCGGGTCTTTTCCAAGTAGTGGTGACCCGGCCTTGGCTCCCTATCTGGGGAGTGTCTCGAGACTTAAGTCTTCCATGGGAGGAGGTACAAGTACCTCCTCATCTTTGGGACCAAGTGTCCCCAGGCCTAGCCACATTTCCCGCCCTCACGGGCTCGTAGGAAGAAGCTAGGCCTCTGGTCTGCCATCTACCCCGCCTCAAAGGGGCTCGTGGGGATGGCAGTCTTATGAGCTGCAGATGGTAGCAAGCTCAGACTCTATTTTACAAGAGAAATAAATTTATTCAAAGGAACCAATGCTCTTGAAGTGTTTAGGGAAACTTGCTTGAGTGAATCACAGGCACATTCTGCAAGGGGGACAAATATAATCCTGTTGTGGTACGCTTCGAAAATAGAAAAAAAAAACGCAGATAAAACCAGTGGGAGAGACAAGAGCAAATAAATGGTACTAGGCGGTAGCGAGTACTTGATAGCCAGCGTCACATCTCATCCCTGTAGCCTGCCCTCCTGCTACCCTGTCACTTCTGCTCTATCTACCTTTTCTTCGCCATACTCTTTGAGATTTACACGACTCGGCATCGTGATGCGCTCCGCTGCCCCAGTGTGTCATGTGCAAGTCGAGTGCGGGAGCTGAAGGAGGCGGCGCTGCCTTGCAACACTGGTGGGTACCATCAGACCCACCACCGGACGTAATTGTGCTGAATTTAGCCATGTTAATGCTAGATCGCCCTCAGCTACACAGTACAGTCTCTGTGCATGATGAAAATTTACTTTTGGAATTTCTTTTGTTCGGAAAAACTTGGTTTTCAGTCGTTTTAATAAGAACATAAGACAGTAAACACAGCAGGGCAACTGACCTCTTCATGACAGGTTCATCATTCCAACCCTTCTCACTCACATAGTTATCTAACCTATGTTTAAATTAGAGATGTATAAAACTTTACAGTGATTGGGTGAGATGATGAAAAGTTATGTAAAACAGCATAAACTAGAGCCCCCCTGCCCCCCTTTTGCATTTCACAATACCGTACACATATGCCTCAGCAAGAATGAGACCATCGCTATTTGCAAGTTATTGTTGATTATCTCTCGTCAGCGGTAGATACCATTATATCACTGATGTACAGCTTATATCTGATTTTTAAACGAATTTTCCTCAAGCAAAATCATATTTTGCTCTTGAAAAAGCTTCTGTGGACATTCACGAGCTAAAATCTTTAATTGCAACAGCGTTTATTTAAAGTAAAAAAAAAAATGACTTCTTTCTGCACTATAAAAACGTAGTTTTACATGTAAGCAAAAATTGTTAACCATAAAGAAAGCCATTAGCACACAGAGCATTTCAGGCAGGCTAATACTAATGTTTACAAACTACTTAAGAATTAGGTTATTGAGTAGGTATACATACATAAATTTAGGCATTGAAAGTAGTACAAACAAGGAAACAGCAGTTTCTTCAAGGGAAGCTTTATCAAGCTTTCCATGAACGGTATGTCAGAAAAAATGCTTACATGTTTTGTGTGCCTCTTTATGCATCTGTCACCTCGCTGCCTCCCCCACCAGCATGGGACCAACTAGAATGGCAGACACAGGAGAGGAAGGATTGCTTCACTCGCGTCCCGGCTACCTTCCCCTTATGTTACTTGTTGTGTGTTGTCGTACCGCCATGCCTTGGCACTAGGGGGCATGCAAGAGGGTATCTGTACCATTGTAGGAGAGACTATAATGTGACAGTGTGATGTGGTGTGTGGGAGCGAGTGGACGTCGTCTCTCTTACAATACCAGCTGGTCGTTCCCTTCTTCCCTCAACCACCTGCTGCAACACGCCTCCTACCCCATGAGACCAGCTCAACAAGTGTTTATTAAGTAAATACCACAATTTTCTCCAAAAGCACGCAACACGTGCTGTTCAATGTCTGCACTTGTTTGGTCATTAAAAAGAGATACATCAAACACCATTGTGTTAATTTATCACTGAAAGTATGTGTTAAGTACAACCAGATGTGTTGGTATAAGGAACCACTGTAATATAATATATATCTGTTCAAGTAAGTTGTTAGATAAATTTATGATCATCACATAAATGCTAATAAAGAATAAAGTGCTAATACCTCCCATGATCTTTTGTTACCAAAGTTATCAATGTCATTAGATATGTTATCATTATTATGAAGTGTCAAGTCATAGATTGCTCACAAGCAGACTGAACATGCAATGGAGCAAGAGTTTATCTTCAGATTGACAAAATGGTCAATACAATAACACTGGAAGTGCATATTGTGTTTAATCAGAGAAGGATGTCAGCAAGCAAAGCTTCCGCAGTGCTTGCTTGGGAGTAAGTGGGAAGGCCTGCTTGCAAGTCTAAGTCGCATTCCCGCTATCATATATCGCCATAAGACACTACCTTGGTCAGCCACCACAACGAGACACTACCTTGGTCAGCCACCACCACGAGACACTACCTTGGTCAGCCACCACCACGAGATACTACCTTGGTCAGCTACCACCACGAGATACTACCTTGGTCAGCTACCACCACGAGATACTACCTTGGTCAGCTACCACAACGAGACACTACCTTGGTCAGCCACCACCACGAGATACTGCCTTGGTCAACCATCACCACGAGATACTGCCTTGGTCAGCCATTACCACGAGATACTACCTTGGTCAGCCACCACCACGAGATACTACCTTGGTCAGCCACCACCACGAGATACTACCTTGGTCAGCCACCACCACGAGATACTACCTTGGTCAGCCACCTCCACGAGATACTACCTTGATCAGCCACCACCACGAGATATTATCTTGGTCAGCCACCACCACAATCTATCTGGTCAGCCCACACGAGATACTATCTTGGTCAGCCACCACCACGAGACACTACCCTGGTCAGCCACCATCAGGAGATACTACCTTGGTCAGCCATCACCACGAGACACTACCCTGGTCAGCCACCACCACGAGACACTACCTTGGTCAGCCACCACCACGAGGTAAGTCATGTCTCTGACACTTTTAAACAGTTATTGCACAAAATCCATGAAAATTTGTACCTATACAGCCTAAACCCCCCAAAATTTCATCCAATTCATAAGATGCACAAGCCAATAAAAACTGATGCCATTAAGAATTGTTTTATTTCAGAGGAAAACCCAAAACCAGTAGGGGTCATAACAGTGCCTGCGGAATGAGCTGCATTCATATTCAATCCGAGGGAAGAATAAGTCCAGTTTCTCAACTAAAGAGCCTCTGGCCAGCACTAAGGCAACATGCATTAATGTAATACATGTATATGCAAAATGGCACTTATACATTCCATTAACAATACACTAACCTCCTAATCAATGGTGTGAAAAGCCTTCAAAAGAGGCCTTTCTAAAATTAATGCATGGAAATCAATTTCGGGAAAGATCCAAAACCGAGCAGAGGGCACCTGCGCTTGTCAAGTGTCCCACAAACCTTCACCTAATAATAGTTGACCAGGGCTGAAAATTCGAAATCTATTGAATAAGGCGCTGTATAACCCTTGCGGTTTAGCGCTTCTTTTGATTATAATAATAATAATATTGGATAAGGCGTTCTGAATTTACAAACAAAGTATTCAGAAGCAGTGGAAGACAACAGTTCTGGCATTAAATGGTGCAGTATTAAGGGGTCACTAAATTCATGTCTACATAAATAACTCATTACGACTGTAACCAGATATAAACATGTAAATGCTTCATTACCAATGTAACTTGTTTAACTATCAAAATTTGCAGCTCAGTCCCTGAACCCATTATGTACCTCAGAATGGGTATGGGGTGCAGAACAAAGATATTAAACTAAAACTAACTGAACTCTTGAAATTTATGTAGATCAATGGTTCAGAGAACCAATAAATTGATAAATTACACATGTGCAACACTTGGGAATCTATCGAGGAAACGTTTCGCTACACAGTGGCTTCATCAGTCACATACAAAGAAGAATGGTGAAGATCAGAATGAGGTTGAGGTAATCAGTCCATCAGCCTGGAGTCGATGTAATTAGTCCATCAGTCTTGGAAAAAAAATACAGCATATGCGCGAAGAACAGACTTATATACTGTAGACAGGTGAGGTAAAGCAGTCATGGGCGATATCACATTTGGACAAATCCACATGAAGTAGGTCATGTTAAACAGTATTTAAAACGACGCATAATGAAAACGGGAACAACTCTCTTTATCTGGACTTTTAACTGTGCAAGAGCCAAGGCCAAACTCTGGTCTTCTGAGGCCTTAAGCCTTAAGTTAAAAGAGGCTCATAAAATTAAGTCGAAAGAGGCAAATAAAAAAAAATCATGCATTTGACAGCGTGAGGCATTGAGCTGTTTGTAGCTTATTTAGCTTTTGAGCAAGCCTGACCCTTCCGATGACTACACAGTTTGCATCAATGGGGAGAAATCAGTATGAGAGCTTGTCGTAAGCGTCGGACCCCAAGCTATTCACAACCTACATAAACGCTCTTAACACTAGTACAAAGTGACAAGTTGGTTGAAACAAAAATAGTTCGATAAATTATTCGTGATACCACAATAGTCTCCTGATGATCTGGATAAGTTATGTTGTAGACGGAAAAGTGACAGATGGAAAAAACACGATGCTGGTAAAGTAACACAGAACTTTAAAAAGGACGAGGGAAAGATATTTTTGAGTTTAGGTTAGAAAATAATATATTCATGGGAAGATGTAACCCTGTTGGGGGTCAAAGCGCCTGTAGAAAGGGAAATCATCAGGTTTGATCTGAAGCAAGAGAGAGTAGCTCCAATTATCATTGTTATATAGTGCCTGTGAAATGCAAGGTAATCAGGTATGATTCATGGAAGAGTAAGGAAAGTTCCCCCCCCCCCATCCTCCTATATGCCCACTGGGGGACGTAATAAGCCAATTTTTGAAATTAAGACACATGTGCAACATCTGGGTATCTTTATTGTAGACCTTTCGCCATCCAGTGGCTTTATCAATACAAATTCCAGGACATAACTTGAAGACAGTAGAACTATGTACAGAAAATGAGGTAATCAGTTCCCTCAACCTTGGAGTTGGTGCGAAGAGCACCGTAGTCGTGGAGATTTCAAAACTTTCTTCGATCTGTAGTTTGTCTGCAACTCCATGGACTGATCTATCTGTCATAGCTCTGTCTCAGTAGAGAGCGACAAGACTGCATCACAACCTTCTACTCACATACTCAAGCAGGTTGCACATTGTCTAAATTTTTGAGTTATTAGTAATTCTTATACACATATCTTGTATTTCATGTGTACCTGTGTAGACAGAACGTAAGAGGACAGATTGAAACCATGAGATAGAATCTGGTAGAGAACAGATGAGAGACAGTAGCGGGAGAACCATGGACAAAAACAGTAGACAGAGACAGAAGAGAACAGAGATCCTGACAGACCCATAAACTTGGGGAACATCCATTTCCACTGTAAAAGAGAGTGTTATATGAACATTAAATCAGTGAATCCTTGGTGATTTGCGCACTGTTTGCATCTAGATTGGTGCTGCAAATTGTAACTGGCAGTCACAATGGTACTGGAGTTGGTGGCCCAGTGTTTTTTAATACTGCGCCAGGAGGCCTGGTCACAGACCGGACCGGGGGGTCATTGACCCCGGAACTCTCTCCAGGTAAACTCCAGGTAAACTCCAGGATGGCGAAAGGTCTACAATAAAGATACCCAGATGTTGCACATGTGTCTTAATTTCATCTTGCCGGAACTCTCTCCAGGTAAACTCCAGGTAATTATATGCCATTCTTGCACAAGCCAATTTCTGTTGGTTCATGTTGCCATGATGGTAGTGAAGGAACCGTGGAGGTAGAGGAACCATGGTGGAGGAGGAACCATGGTGGAGTAGGAATCATGGTGGAGGAGGAACCATGGTGGAGGAGGAACCATGGTGGAGGAGGAGGAACCATGGTGGAGAAGGAATCATGGTGGAGGAACCACTGTGGAGGAACCATTGTGAAGGAGGAACCACTGTGAAGGAGAAACCATGGTGGAGGAGGAACCATGGTGGAGGAGGAACCATGGTGGAGGAAGAACCATGGTGGAGGAGGAACCATGGTGGAGGAGGAACCATGGTGGAGGAGGAACCATGGTGGAGTAGGAATCATGGTGGAGGAATCATGGTGGAGGGGAAACCATTGTGGAGAGAGGAACATGGTGGAGGAACCATGGTGGAGGAACCATGTGAGGAGGAACCATGGTGGAGGAGGAACCAGGTGGAGAGGAACTATGGTGGAGGAGGAACCATGGTGGAGGAGGAACCAGGTGGAGGGGAATCATGGTGGAGGAGAACCATGGTGAAGGAGGAAACCATGATGGAGTAGGAATCATGTGGAGGGAACCATTGTGATGGAGAAACATGGGGAGGAGGAACCATAGTGGAGGACTGTGGTGGAAGAACCATAGTGTGTATGTTAGTTTATATATATATATATATATATTATATATATATATATATATATATATATATATATATATATATATATATATATATATATATATATATATATATATAAATGTTTTATTTATACAGAATTTAACATAGCATTATATGCACAATTATTTTAGGAATATGGCTGAGAGGAGTGTTGATGATGTAAACTAGGATAGCCTAACGAAGCTAAATAGAATGATTTATTTCCATTGAGGAATAGTGTACAAGGGAGAGGGAGGGAAGGTTAAAGTGGACGATGTTAAGAATTCAACATTTATATGATATTTTTCTTAAACTCTCTTCTCTGCTGTGTACAGTGGTCACTTGTCACGTGAGGTCACAGGCCCTGAGCTGCTTTGGGGATTAATGTGGACGGTTACAAAGTCATGGCTTGTTTATGCAGTGTTCTAAAAATTGAGGTTGGAGAGTTGAAGGAGGAAGTCTTGCTTCTCCAAGAGGAAATTAGGAGGCTGAAGGCTCACCTCAATGGGGTTGGGAGCGAGTGTGAGGTGGCTGATATGGTGGAGGGGAATGAGGCTACCAGCAGCGAGGTGCAGTCTGTCTCTCGCTGCGAGGAAGCTGTAGGTGGGGAGGTAGCAACGGCTACCAGCAGTGAGGTGCAGTCCAGCACCTACAAGTGGTAAGTGGTTCCCAGTAATGGGAAGAGCATCAAGATAAGGAAAGTTAAGATAGAAGATTTGAAGGTAGGAAATTGCTTCTCTGTTCTTCAGGATGAGTGTACTTCAGTGGCCAGTGAAGGTAAAGGTACTACTTCCCCTGCAAATGGAGGTAAGCGCATACTTGTGGTTGGTGACTCACAGGTACGATATATGGACCGTGCCTTCTGTAATAGGAATAAGAAGGTAAGAGATAGAATGTGCTTCCCAGGAGCTGGTGTTAGTGACATAGTCGACAGGTTGGATAATATCATGTCATGCAATGGGAACAAGCCTATTATCTGTCTCAGTGCTGGTGGAAATGATATTGGGAAGGGTAGGAGAGAAGAGCTGCTAGATAAGTACAGGTCAGCTATAGATTTAATTAAGTCTGAGGGGTCCCAATTATATGTAGCATCTTGCCTAGAAGGGGAGTGGGCACTGAATGGTTGTCTAGGGCAATTGGTGTAAATTGCTGGCTAGACAGATACTGCAAGGAACTTGCAATCCCATTCATTGACGACTGGGGCAACTTTTATGGTAAACATGATATGTATGCAAGGGATGGTGTACATCTTTCTGGGGCAGGGGTGGTAGCTCTTGCAAACTCAATCGAGAGGGCCATTGCTGAAATGCCTAGGATTTTAAACTGATGGAAGATAGAGGTGTGGGTGTGTGTGGGAAACAGTCAGGTTGCAACACTAGGGTTGTAAACAATAAATGTATAAAATACATTCATCATGAAGTTATAAATAAAGACAATAGATCAGGTCAGCAAACAAAGGGAGACAGCAGAGGGCAGCAAGGGACTAGCTCCCTTAAGGTCTATTATACTAATAGCTGGAGTGTAAGAAATAAGATGAGCTAAGAT